TCACTCCCTTTTACGGATGAGCAAAACAGTTAGTGGTTAGTTTCTACGATCGTTCAGTCATGGGTCCCCTGTTTGTTGCTGAGCGCTTTTACACGTTTTATTTCATTGAATACACTAGCCTTTTGAGGTGGATTCTTCCCACTGTTAGTTGCGATGTCTGTGCCCAGGATCCTAAATTAGAATCTGGTGGCAACTGCTTTTCCGCTCTTACAGGTTCCCAAGGAAAATGGGTAGATTGGCTACTCCAGGCAAACTTGACTGGATTTTAGCACTGATCCCTGGTGGAGTTTTGCATCCACATGAGCTGGGCTAGCCAGGAAATCTTCCCAGGTGATCCTTTTGTCTGGTTACTTGGTTTTCTAGGTTTTGGGGGTGGGAGGACATGCAGTTTTCCAAAGCACTAAGCCCAGCTTTCTTACTGAGACAGCCGTAGAATAGGAGGAAAAAGAAAGAAGTGAAGGTGTTGCAAGCAGTCTAAAAGGTAACAGATATTTTTTTTAAAAGAGCACAACTTTCCCAAGTCATTTCTGTTATTTGTCTCTTTCCTCTTCCAGTTAGAAATTTGTACAGTTGCTTGATTGTATTCTGGGCATCCATTTGGTTCCTTTTGAGATCTGTAGTTAAGTTCTCTTTTACTGGTGAGGAAACCAACACTTAGAGATGTTAATTAACTTGCTCACAAGTCACACATCTACTGAGTAACAGCAGTAGGTTTTCATTACCCTTAATCAGTATCTCTCGTGATGGTTGAGACTTTGGACATTTACCCACTTAAAAGATTTGCCTTAGAAAAATGGTCAGACTCAACTGTATGGCCCTCAGCATTTAAACATTCTTTTCTGTGATTTGTGTGCATGATCTTTGTTGTAGACAGTTTATAACCTGAGTCAGCCTTTCACCCAAAGGTTGAACTGCCTGGCTTTATACTCCAACTCCTTCATTGCCTGGATTCATGATCTTGAAAGTTACTTTGGTTCTTGGGGTCTTTTCTCATCTGTAAATGGAGGTAGGATAGGTATGAGAATTAAATATAAAGTACCCAAACACTGCATGGCCTATAGTAAATGCTCAAAAAATGTTAGCTCTTATTGTTATTGCCACTTTGTAAATGTCTGGACATTTCTCCCTACTTTCAGGTGATAAGGTTTACAAATTTTAAATAACATAGTCCATCAATTCGAGTATGCACACATTTATTATCATTGGTGGCATCTTAAATTCCTTGATTTGTGGTAATGTATTAGATTCTTTTTTTTTTTTTTTTTTTAAGATTTTATTTATTTGTTTTTCCCCCAAAGCCCCAGTAGATAGTTGTATGTCCTAGTTGCACATCCTTCTAGTTGCTGTATGTGGGACGCGGCCTCAGCATGGCCGGAGAAGCCGTGTGTCGGTGCTCGCCCGGGATCCGAACCCGGGCCGCCAACAGCGGAGCGCGCGCACTTCACCACTAAGCCACGGGGCCGGGCCCGTATTAGATTCTAAAGATAGAAAAATCTGCTGTTTAAAAAAAAACTATTCATCTCAAAGCTCGTTATAAAATCGGTGTTATCCTTTGTTTTGAATTATCCAGGCCTGTTTTTGTATTTCCTAGGAGACCTAGGGTTACCTTGAGAGTCAGGAGAGACAAACCGGTGGGGCCTGCCTTGCCTTCCTCTATCTTCAACCCGAACAGCTGCACTATTATGTTTGGGTAAAAACACTTCTGCTTTTAAAAACATTTGAGGGCCGGCCCCGTGGCTTAGCGGTTAAGTGGTTAAGTGTGTGCGCTCCGCTACTGGCGGCCCGGGTTCGGATCCCTGGGCACGCACCGACGCACCGCTTCTCCGGCCATGCTGAGGCCGCGTCCCACATACAGCAACTAGAAGGATGTGCAACTATGACATACAACTATCTGCTGGGGCTTTGGGGGAAAACAAGGAGGATTGGCAATAGATCTTAGCTCAGAGCCGGTCTTCCTCAGCAAAAAGAGAAGGATTAGCATGGATGTTAGCTCAGGGCTGATCTTCCTCACAAAAAAATAAATAAAAAGTTTGAAAACCTCTAATCTGGGTAGTAGTTCAATTCTTCATTAGCACCCTGCTTTATATCTAAAACGTTTTTCAGAGTATTGAGGGCACTTACTAACAATTGTTAGTAAGAGTGAGTCTTGCTAATGAGGCCAAGGTCATGGGTTCAGGCCTTATATAAGTCATTGAGCATTACTGTGCCTGCAAGGAGTTCCTGTATCTGGAGTTTGTGATTCAGCGCATACTCTGTGAGAGCTGCCGATGGTGAGTGAGTTCGTGGCCATCTCTCTGGGAAGGACAGTATTTTGTCATTTATCCTACATACAGGCTCTATAGGCCAGCAGAAGACTCTGAGAAATAAAAAAGATTCATTACCTTGCCTTACACTAAGGAAGACGTGTAGGAGATCTGAGAGCTTTTGTGTCAGTCCTGAGAGGTGATGCTGTTCATTTGCTCTTGCATTCTTGAAGCATGTCATAAGTTCGAAAATATATTCCAAAACCTAACATAAAAAATTTTTCCTGATTATTTATCTCCCCTTGGGGGAATTGTGGTATAGGCATTTTGCCTTCTAGAGTCCCCTGTACCATTGACTTTCCAAGTACAATTTTGAAACTTCGTAGGAGGTCATATTTTGAACATCTTAACATATCACAAGCAGACAGTACTGCTTGTTTCCCTCAGAGCTAGCTTGCCCTTCATCCTTCTCTCCTCTGTCGTCTTGCCCCCCACCCCACCCCACTCACCTTTTTGGTGCTCCTTTTCCCCCTTGACTCTTTTCACCCCTCTTTGGAACCACTTTTCTACCTCCCCGCATGGTGGTTGAGAAAGATGAAGATAATGTTAATAGAAACAGACTTCTATGGAGCTCCGAGGAAGAATAGGACAAATGTAGTTCAGGCTTCCTCACAGAGCTTGTGTGTTTTGTTTGGTTCCCCACAAAAATGAAAGATGTAAAAAACTCAGACCTAAAGCTTTTAGTTTCCATTCGGCTTTCCTCTCTCCCCAGAGCATTTCTGTTTTCTTACAGACTAGGCAAGAGAATATAGAAAAAGCAAAACTGGGAAGATAAAGCTTTTAAAGAAAATACCTTCTTGTGTATTAGGTTTCCCAGTGTTCTGCTTCAAGTGACAAGGGCCTGTTTGGAGGAAGAAAGTGTTGATCCTTTTTTTGTGTGTTTGAGTTTTCCTTTAAAAAGTCTTTGAGTGACTTAGGAGTAGGGTGATTAATATCGTACTTATGTGTGTTTTTCTCTTTTTCTTTTTAAGACTTCATTATTCTCTTTCTCTTGGTTGGGCAATTAGAGTGTTCCTCAGCCCCTGTAGGGCTTCTGTGTTCTCTAGGACCTAGATTTGTGTCCCTCACCCTTTCGTACGTTGGCCTTTCTTAACAACCCCAGGCCTCCCTTTGCTCTCTGTATCCTGGCGATTCCCCGACTAGTGTGCAGTCTGAGTCTAGTCTCACAGCAGCAGCGTTTCTCAACTGTTCCATGCATGTTCCAATGCAACATTTTGGGAAGGAAACATGACTCCTTGCCTTTTTTTCCCCTTTACATCTTCCACAATAAAACTAACAAGTGGAAATTTAACTTGCTCTCTGTCTCCAAGGTGACAACTACTCCAGAGCCCTCTGAAGACACACTGTCTTAATAAAAGTTTGTACCTCCTAGATGATGGTCACATTTCTCAAGCAACACAGGCCATGGGCTCTGGGGTTAGAATCCCTCCTGCAGATTGTTTTAGCATTTATATTTAACGTGTCAAGATCATATATAAGTTCCAAGATATATTCTAAAACCGAATATAAAATTTTTTAGCACATAAATCCTTAAAGTAGTCCCCACCTTAAATGGTGATAATAATACAGGATTGGATGAGGTATTGTGAACTTGGTAAATGTAAGTTCCTTTCCTCTTAATAACTTTTGATGATGTAGGCAGGTCCAAGAAAATGGTTTTAGAAGTTTTTTGTTGTTAGAATAGACTTTGCCTTTGGAAGCATCACTACTTCATTAGCAAAATTGGAAACCAGTTAGATCCATATGAAAAGTCAAATTAAGTACTTAAGCACCTATTTTATGCTGGTCAAGAAACATCTTGTCTTTAGAGGGGTAGGTAGAGTGTAGTGTCTCATAGTTAGTTCTGGATCTGGCCTTGTCTTTGAGAATTCTTCTTATGCTTTCCAATGTAGACATCGTCCTCAGTGACTTTCAGCAGTTCTCTTTCTAGAGCCAAGACCAGACACAAGTACAGCTGGCAGGAGTTGTAGATGAAGTTTGGAGGAATTTGGGCAGCTTTATAGAATCAATCTTTACTTGCAAGATTGTTCAGTAATGTTTAAAAATAAAACATATTGGTTTTGTGGTCTCTCTGTCTGCTTTTACCTTCAATTAGCTCCTCCATCTTCTGATTTCTTTTGGTTTCAGTGGTTCACCACTGCCCTGGGGCTGCCGAGATGCATTTACACAGGCAGGAACTGGGTTGCATTTGAAGAGTTTTATGCCTGGCACCTACCTATTCAGGAAAGTTGCTTTGGGGAAATAGCATGGACTCTCCCCATTAATAACATAATGCTTAATTGTTAAAAGAATTATACAGGCTTTAACTTGATTGTAGTTTCCCATCCAAAAGCAGATTCTAAAAATGATTGTTTTGGTGACCTAGATGTACTGAAATTCAACCTCACAAATCCTAGTCATTGTTTTGCTATTGTGACATTTGGGGGCAAGCCTCTTTTAAGCCTTTTAGTACTTTAGTTCCCCATCTTTTAAGTTGATGTTTTTAAATTAGCTCTGATATGTTAAATGCAATTTATCTTTAAGATATTGTGTAGTTTAAAAATGGGAGAGGGAGGTTTTTGTTTTGTTTTTAGTATCTTCAGCCATGGTGACAAAGGGGGCTTTTCTTTGGAAAGAAGCTACGGATCTGGAATTACGAGAAGTGTAGACATAGCCCACTTATTTTTCTTTCCTTGGTTTTTTAGAGTGAAGACATAGTCCAGAGAGGGAGGTGTAAAGCTACAGGTATGGGCTAACTGCTGGATGGGTGTGCTCCTTGGCCATCTTCTTAACCTTCTTGCATGAGGCCTGTTGTGCAAATATGAAAAAATTGCCTTCAGAAAGGTGATGGCTTTTTTCCTACATTATGGGATATAATTTCCTGTTCCTGGGAAGCTGGAAATATTTTCTTGCTTTTAATCAACTCTTTCTCCTTAGCTATTTCCCAAGGCAGGTTTATCTCCCACTTGAACTAGCTGCTGCCCAGTTCTAACAGCTGGGGGCAGAGTGGGGTGGGGGGTTGGGGGGAAGGAAAGAGAGAGAGTTGGGAGCAGTACTCTACACACAGCGGCTACCCAGCCTCAGACTCCAAGTAAACTAGAACAAGGATGAGGACAGCACTTAGTGGATTCCTCACAGATAATATTACCCTCCTGGAACCAGAATTTTTTCAACATAGTGATTTGTTAATCTGCACTGGAGCTTAAATAAAGAATTACTCTTAAGTTCCAGAACTAGTTTGGGATCTAAAAATATGACCTGATTTGAAGAGTGGTCACAATTTGACAAGACAATTTATCGGGTTAGGGTTCGTCCCAGAAACTCCAAGGGAGGCTCTCAGCTTTTACTTTGGCTGACAGTGCTAAGCACAGAAGAGGGTCTTTCTGCTGGTCCTTATCCTTGACACTGATTTGGGGAGGAGATAGTAGTGATTAAGGACAGGAGGAAGAAATGGAAAACTTTCTAGATTTCAAAAACGGTGGTGGTTTTCCTCCCTTCACCCTTGTCATATCCTCTCACTAACCTTATATGATAATCTTACAGGCAAACCAACTTGCATACAACAGTCACTACTACTTAGTGCTTTTTGTGTTACAGTGATTTTAGATTTGAAATAGCTTTTTTACAATATTTCTATTCCTTCTTTACTTGAAAACTCCCCTGTCCTCAAGTTCAGAATTTTTTTTTCATTGTCTAGACTCTTATTGGAAACTCAAAAAGGTTTTTTGGTTTGTTTTAAATTATGCTTAACTGTCACATTTTTGCAAAATAGCTCCCACAAAGTGAGATACTATTTAGGTTTCTAGATTTTTGCATATGCAAGGTACTGGATTGGGATCTCTAGGACACCCACTAAGTATATTAGAAGTACTCAATTTTTGAAGTGAAATTCAAGTCCATAAGGTGTTAAGCTAAAATTTTAAGTTGTTCTTGGTTGGTTATTTTCAAGTGGTATCAAGTGATATTCTTTTCTACATCCCTTATGTCATCTAACTACCAGAAGCTCTGGTGGAAAATATCCAGTCCACTTAACTGTCTGAGGTTATGACTTTTCCCTAGATTTTTTGCACTTTTCCTTATATAGACTAGTCAGTGGTGATTTTTAATGACGTAGGTTCTCTTTTATAATTTAGTAGTAGGCTCTAACATCCTCTATGCTCATATAACCAGACTTCACACTTTTGCCCTTTAAAACACATTTAGATTATTGAGGTGGAAGTGTAAAGTCCCTTCGCCTGTCGTTGCACTCCCTGGCTACATTAGTCAGGGTAAGACACCCTGATATTTGTATGTGCCACCTGGGCTTTCTTGCTCAACTGTGCTTTTCTTGGCTCTTTCACTCTTTAGACAAAACAAATGCTATGATTTCTAGCATTTCTCTCTTCTAATCCAGTTTTTAAACGGTTTATTCCATTCTGACATTTTAAATGCAGGGTGTGCTATTTTGAGGGTTTCCCTTATTTACTGATCACTTTTAATGATATGGGTTCTTAATGTTACAGCAGGCTGATTGCCCCTACCCTCACATAATCAGGTTTTGAATTGTTGCCCTTAGAAAAGAAGTAGAGAATATTCAAGGCAAAGAAAACTGAGACAGAGAGATAACCAGGGGAAGAGGAGGAAACCATGAGTGTAAATTCATAGTGAGAGGACAGGTGGTAAAAAGAGACTGAGGGAAAGTTAAGGCCTTCTTTTGTAGCGGACCCGTAGTTACAACCCTTTCTGCCATTTCCTTATTTCTAATACATCCTTGGTGGGAAAAGCCTGGAATGTGTTTCTGATTAAGAAATTTAAAAGCAATTTGTGGGCAGTTTTCTGGGAATAACTTTTAATTCTACTTTTTAATCTCCCCTTAACATCTGCATTTTTGTATTCCCATAATTGTTTTTATCATCACTTAACTTTGTAACCTTTTTCTAAAATTGAGTGACTTGTGATTAATTTCTGTGCTTTCTTTTCCCACAAGCATGTTAAATTTAATTATACTGAGATAACTCTGTGAGTTGCCTAAAGAGAAGTGCCCTCCTTCATGTAATAACATTTCCATCTTGTAGATTTTTTTTTTTTTGTGAGGAAGATTGGCCCTCAGCTAACATCTGCCAATCCTCCTCTTTTTTTGCTGAGGAAGACTGGCCCTGGGCTAACATCCATGCCCATCTTCCTCCACTTTATATGCGACGCCGCCACAGCATGGCTTGCCAAGCGGTGCGTCGGTGCGCGCCCGGGATCAGAACCGGCGAACCCCAGGCCGCCGCAGCGGAACGCGCGCACTTAACTGCTTGCGCCACTGGTCCGGCCCCCATCTTGTAGATTTTTAAAGCAGTGTTGCTCTATAAATTGTAAAGTGGATTTTAAACCGTTACTCTAAATCAGTGCTTCCCAACTTTTGGCTTGGTTAAAATTGCTGTGAGGAGTGCGCATCCTTTCATACACTGAGCAGTGCCTGGCTACTCAGTAATGTCTCCCACATTTAAGTACTCTCGTTATAGTTGTGATTCTGATTAAAATAGAGATGTAATGTATTTTTAGTGACTAGTAAAAGCAAAACAGTAACCAATGGAATTCCTTCAAATTTGTTGATTCTTTTATAAAGGAATCCTTGAACTAAAAATCTAATTTGGTTGTTAATGGACCTCACAAATTTACTCCTTGGTCCAGGTAACTTTCTATAGGAAGAGGCATGTGATCAGATCCAGTGTACATAGGAGAAACTAGGACAAACCTAACCAGTAACTTACCCAGTCACAGCTTGGGTTACCATCTTCTGCCTGTCGGGCAGTCAGGGCTTGGTGAACTGCATACTGTGTACCAGTTGCACAGTCTCCTGTTGGTTGCAGCCTCTTTTTGCTTCCTCCTTTAATAGGATGGAAAAGAGCTCCTGCCACTTCTGTCTCTAAAGTAGTGGATGAAATGAGCTAGGGTCTCTGACAAAATAGAAAAGCAGTTACCTGCTGTTATAGTTCTAAATTTTGGATGATTATGTCTGGATATGGGACAGAAGACACAGTTTCTACCTTCCTTGGTCAAATGCAGACAGGTACCAGCCATCGTTACACGGACTAGAAGGTTTAGGCCTATACCATGACGTGCTGCCTTTCATTATTTTTTTAAAAGTAACTCGCTACGTTTCGGAGTTCATTCGTTTACCTCTTTACAGGCTGAACATAACTTCTTTTTTTCAAAGTTCCCTGTGTTGTGAACTGAGCTTGATTGAAGCAAAATCTTTGAGGTAAGGCAACCCTAATGATAAAAATGGAAAGAAGGCCTATGAAATTTGGGAGCCTTCAGAGATACAGTTTTAGAGTCACTGCCTAAATATTGAAATGCCACCATTTGTTGTTTGGAGGGATGTGGAGCTAAATTGAGAACAGGAGCACCACATCTGCCTTGACTGCTAAGTATATCCGTCTCTACTGCTCACCCATAATAGACTTTTCATGTGTGCATTCAGTAATCTTGGTTTTAGCAACAGTTTAAAGGAGGGCAGAGAATGAAGAGACTTGGTCTACATTCCTGTGTCCTTCCTTACATGTTTGAGTGTTTGTCCCTGGTGGGCCCCAGTTCTTTCTCATTATTACCACTGTGGTGGCTTTTGTTTTTTGTTTCTTTAGAAAGGTCAAACACTGAAAAGACATTATTTCTTGGTACTCTGTGAAGAGGCAGAATATTACTATTCCATTTTTATTTTTATTTTTTTTGTTTTCTGGCGAGAAAAGATTTGGAGTTAGTAAAGAAGCTTTCCCTTGTGCCACCTAATGAATGTCACTGAAGCAGCAATTTTTGAAGTCCTTCATTAGGTAGCACACGTTGCTGTCAACACCATCAGGAAAGCAAGGTAGGTCCAGTGCAGGTAGTAGTATGTGAGCGGTTCATTTCTGGTGGCCAGTTCCTCAGCCAGCTGGCCTCTGGCCTGCTTCTGATGGCCTGAACCGCTCCTCGTTATGCGACTGTTCTGAGGTTAGTTTGGACCCAAACGCTGTGCTCATTGCTGTCTTTGGCACATGGAACTAAGTTCAGACCAAGGCTAGCAACCCGGTTCTTTCCAAAAACATTTTCAGACCATGTGAGGTGAGCCTTTTTTTGCTTCAGGTAGTTTCAGGCTTTGGGGTCCCTTAAAAACTGATTTGCAGGGAGGAGTTTGGAAGATGTGAAACAAGTTTGTGTTTCTTCTGCTCTGTCAGCCACTGCTATCTTCATGGATCTGACACTCTATTTGTCTGACAGTGCACTTAGTACTGCTTCGCCAGGGAAAATCACACAAAACAAGCCTGGCGCATCAGCACTTTCATTGTGTGCCGGGCTGAGCCTCCCTTCACATGGTCACATCCCCCTTTTAATCCAGTACTCCCTTCCCCTTCCCCAGTCCTGCCTGTTTCTGTGGCACTTATTGCTGGTTTCCCTGAGCTCCTGTTTCCACTTTGTGTTTTTTGTGGAGCCCAGGAAGCTAAAGCTGTGTGTATTTGTGGATCAGACAAGTGCAGCAAGTTAATATCATTGGCTTCTGAAGGGGAGAGTGAGGTGATGGCTGCGTTTAAGTTGGATTTCCTTCCAGAAATGATGGTGGATCATTGCTCTTTGAATTCCAGTCCCGTGTAAGTATTTTTGTCTAATTTTTATCATAAGCAGAGGAACTGGGTTGTTGTCTTTATTTGATGAAACTGATCCCTTTCCTTAAAAGAGGGAAGAAAAAAATTGGGTGAGGAAGCCGAAGTCCACACCACTGTTATTTTCTATTATAGTCTGGTTCTGTCTTATTATTGCTGATTTCCTCGAGGCTATAACTAAGTTCTGTACATAAGGGTACATTTGATACATGACCAGCAACATCAGCTCAAGTGTTCTGGCTCTAATTCTTTCAAGCTGTAGTGTTTTCCCATATGGTAGATTCCAGGGTATTTTATTTTAACTGTAGCTTTATTGCTTTGTGTTGGGTATGCAATTTCAGATAATCTTTGGGGAAGTTATTTATTTATTTATCTTTAATGATCAAATTCTTAGCTCATATCACAGAGGAGACTGGTAGCAAGCGTGTATTTAGTAGTGTATACAGAATGCTGTATTGACATGTAAACTATAATTCTGGACCTTGATTTTTTCCCAGTCTAATTGAAAATGCAACAATATATGATTTGGGGGCCATCAGATGCCCGCCTCCCCCAAAAAGCAAAACTGGATCAATCTTGCTTGAAAGTTTACCCAAATAAATTTTGAACATGGGAATGAGAATACCCCATCAGTTTGCAGTACTATTCAAGAAGTGACACTGCCATTGTACACAGCTAAAATGCTAGCCTGAGTTGTAGCTACCGGGACCCTGAATTCTGGGCTTTGTACAGAAGAACACGTTTCTAACTCCTGATTGCAGTTACTTTAACCAGGCTTCAAAGTATTTTGGAACCTCAAGTAAATGAGCCTTAGGTTATTCAAAGCTAAGAATATTAAATGATAGAATATTCCCTGGATAACAGGCGGTAGGGCAGGTCTTTGAGTTGAGGCCTCCATGTGCAAATCAGTCTACCCTAGGATTAGGTGTAACAGGTGTGGGTAATAGCAGATTCTGAATAGTTCTTTGTGGAGTAGTTTGGGGGGGGGTCCTCAAAGTTAGTTGGCTTGCTCATTTGAAATGGATCCTATGCGTTTTCTGTAGTCTCCAAAATAATAGTAGTTTAGATGTGTCTTTTTATGAGTAGATAACAGATGAAATCACAATGAATGCCATCTTAAAGACTTAATACATAATGAAAATATTCCCAAGTACCATGTATGTAGTTAGCAGAATTAGGACTTTGTGGTTCAAATTATCTTTCATTGTAACACTTTCTCTCTATGCTTTGCCACTGCCTAGTGTTCAGCCTTTCAACGCAGCATTTTTCCTCAGCCTGTTTTCTCATCTTTTAAGAGTTTGGAGTAATTCAAATTCCTATGGAGTCTGGACCATGGACCACTGCAAGAAAGTCACCAGGAACATAAAAATGCATGTTCCCTGGACCCATGCTCAGATATTCTTATGCTAGAATAGGGCCCAAGAATCTGTATTTTAACAATGTTGCATGTGGTTTTTTCATGCACACTAAAGTTTGAGAACTAATGGACTGAATACAGGTCATTCTGAGTAGAGGTAATCAGAGAGTAGACTATTATATAATTTTTTTCCCAAGTACATTTGAATTTGTTTTAGTTATCCATCTTCACAAAAGCTTTGTGAAGTTAATTGGGCATGGGCTATTGGCCTTGTTTTACAGATGCTATAACTGGTTTGCCTGAGGACAGTTGGTGTCAACTTTGGGCCTAAAATGCAAGTTTAATGACATTCTCTTATTTTTGCCTACTAGACCAGGCTGCCTCAGGTGTCATTGAGCAGTTACCCATCAACTTTTCTTGTTATTGCAAGTCCTTGGGCCCACTCCCAGGGCACCATACAGCAAAACACCACATTGGGAAGAAGAAAGTTCCTGAGAATGGTGTGTGCTTGCTACCTCTTTTTTGGATTCTCAGCCCTTTTCACTCAAAGAACTTTAGCGAGAGGCTTGATATCAGTGGTTTCCTCTCTGAACTGATATTGCCTGGGAATGTGATCTAGCAATGTACCTTATTTCCAGATTTCTTTACAACAGAGAATTGGTGGAGGAGCTGTGGAAGGGCTGGGGGACCTGAGCCCTGGTTCCTGTTCTCACTTGTGACAATTGTCCTTGATTCCGCTCGGCCACTCTTCAGCTTCCACTGGTTCCTCTTACTTTGCTTGCACCCCAGGACATGCGCGTTCTCCAAAAGTTGTATCTCAGGCCTTTTTCTCTTAGCTTTCCCATTGCTTAAGGGGGCACTGATGTGCTTCTCTGATTCTCACATCTCTAGATCTATCCCCTAAATGTCCCCTGAACTCTGTGACTTTGTTCTAAAATCTTCCCATTGAATGCCTCCATTTGGAGGCTTCCCCACGCAAAAACAACTCCACACTGTTGTCTGAAGTAGAACACAAGAGTGATCAGTAGCTTCTTCCTTTTCCTTATCTCCTTTATCTTGTGATTTCCAAGTCCTAGTGGGTCCTGCCTCCCAAATTTCTCAACATTGCCTGAGACCGGGACCTAATCTGAGGAGCTAGTTTGTGCTAAAGCCTCCTCATCTCCATATTTCCCCACTTTATTTCATCCTCTAGATTATTGCTAGATGTCTTTTAAAAGACAAATCTGGGGGCCACCCCAGTGGCATTGTGGTTAAGTTCGCGCACTCTGCTTCAGCAGCCTGGGGTTCACGGGTTTGGATCCCAGGTGCAGATCTGAACACTGCTCATCAAGCCATGCTGTGGCGGTGTCCCACATGCAAAATAGAGGAAGATTGGCACAGATGTTAGCTCAGGGACAATCTTCCTCACCAAAAAAAAAAAAAAAAAAAGACAAATCTGATCACTTCCTTGTTGAAGAATCTTGGAATAAAGTCCAAGCCTGCCGGTACAACGCGGAAAGCCCTTCACTGAGTCTCTCCAAATTATCTCTTTATTCTCATTGATTTTCTAAAATTTTCTCTCTTTTTTCCCCTAATCTTTTAAAATGTTGTTATTCTCTCCCCTAACTCTCTCAAGTCCTTTTGCTACCTTTCTAGTGTTACCTCACTCTCCTCTCACGAGTCCTTACATTTCCTCATCGCCCCTTAGGCTTTCATTCCTCCATGCTATATAGCACTTTTCCCAGCTGTGTAGTCCATTCGACTTAAATCCCTGCACACACCTCCCGCCTCTCCCAAATAAGGTAAAACCACAGTAGCCACCATTTTCACAGAACTTGTATACCTCTGTTAAAGCATTTGTAGGGTGTTATAGTTGTGTCCTTCCACTTGTTCAGTGACATTGCTTCCAGGACAGAGGTGGTTCAGTCCACTTTTATAGCCCCTGTAGTGTGTAGTATCTGGCACATAATAGGAGCTTGGGCAATACAGTTGAATGAATGATAAACCCTGTGAGGTTTTTTTTACAATTAGAGATGATTACTGAGATGAGATCTCTCCAGACCTTAGGGAAGAAGGCTGAAAACCTTCACACACAGATTGCTAGCTGTTCTATTTTTGAATGGTGACTTAAAAACTTTTATTGATAGCTTTTTCTAGTACCTAACACCCCAACTAAAGGAAGATCTCCCTTTATCCAAATGAAAATTACTTTCTTCCATCCAATATAGACTCATCCTGTTTTGTTCTCCCCAAAGAACAGCTGTTAAGTGGGGGCTGGCCCGGTGGCGCAAGCAGTTAAGTGCGCGCACTCCGCTGCGGTGGCCCGGGGTTCCCCGGTTTGGATCCCGGGCGCGCACCGACACACCACTTGGCAAGCCATGCTGTGGCGGCGTCCCATATAAAGTGGAGGAAGATGGGCATGGATGTTAGCCCAGGGCCAGTCTTCCTCAGCAAAAAAAAAAGAGGAGGATTGGCAGATGTTAGCGCAGAGCTGATCTTCCTCACACAAAAAAAAGAACAGCTGTTAAGTAACTCAGGCCAGTGTTTCCGGGTCGTTTTTATCCTGATGTTCTTCTGTGCCGGTTTTTCCACAGCACAGTGTGTGAGCCAGAGGCACCTGGTAGGGGTGGGTGGTAGCTGGAGGTTGGGATGCAACAGATATTTATGCCTGCTGGGGAGGTGGAGGGATTGGTAAGGATCTGAGATTTTTCTGTTTGTATAATGAACAAATGGAGGTCAACAGGTAGTTAGAAGGAGAGAGTAAAAAAATGAGTAATGAAAGGTTTTGGAAATGATCTTTGAACAGATGTGAAGGTAGTATTTGCCAGCCTGTTTGGCTGCGAGGAATAGATACCCACTCAAGCTAGCATATATGAAAGAGTTTCCTGGTAAGATCACATGCAGACTGGACTGTAATGTAATCAGGGATTCCACAGCTGGGAGACCTGGAAACTCCCTCTTTCTGATATAGGACACATGTTCTGCTCGCCTGCATGTGCTGCTGCTGCTTCTACTCTGCATCTGCCTTGTAACTTTGGTTGCAGCCTGGCTTTGCCTTGCTGCCTTTCCAGCCTGTCTTCTGACTCCCTCTCTCAAATTGAAATATAATTCACTTAACATAAAATTTACCCTTTTAAAGTGCACAATTCAGTGATTTTTACTATATCTACAGAGTTGTGCAACTATCACCACTGTCTAATTCCAGAACATTTCATCACCCCAAAAAGAAACCTTGTACCCTTTAGCAGTCATATCCACCCCACCCCCCACCCAGTCCCTATTCCTAGGCAACCACTAACCTACTTCCTGTCTCTATAGATTTGCCTACTCCAGACATTTCGTATAAATGGAATCACACAATATGTATCCCTTTGTGATTGGCTTCTTTCACTTAGCATAATGTTTTCAATCTTCATCTGTATCTTAGCATGACCCCTGTTATCTCTTGCCACTGCCCTTTCATCATGTCAGCTTAACTCACGCTATCTCTTGTTGCAACTTTTCCACTTTTGACTTCACCATTAACTCCTGGTTTCTGTTAACTAGTTCCAGATTCTGTGGAGCAGTGCTGTGATAAAGATGTTTTATATCTCTGCTGTGCCATGCAGCAGCCACTAGTCACCTATGGCTAGTGCAACCGGGGAACTGAATTTGTTTTTTTTTTTTTTCGTGTGTGAGGAAGCTCAGCCCTGAGCTAACATCCCTTGCCAGTCCTCCTTTTTTTTCTTTCTTTGTTTTTTTTCTTTTTTGCTGAGGAAGATTGGCCCTGGGCTAACATCTGTGCCCATCTTCCCCTACTTTATATGGGATGCCGCCACAGCATGGCTTGACAAGTGGTGCGTCGGTGCACGCCCAGGATCCGAACCTGCAAACCCTCGGGCTGGTGAAGTGGAGCACTGTGCCTCCGGGCCGGCCCCCCGGAACTGGGTTTTTAAAATTAAATTTAAATAGCCGCATGTGGGTAGTGGCTGTTGTCTTGCTCCCTGAAGCTATAGAGGAACTTGATTGGCCAGGCCTGACTTCCTGTTTTGAGCATAGGTCACGGTCTCAGGTTTCTAAGAGGTCAGCCAATGGATCAGCTTGTAGGGTTAAGATCTACAGATCCACCCCCTGTTCTTGTCAGCTGGGGTCTGGGGATGGGAAACAAATGGGACAGAACATCAACTCTGCCTTCTCAGCTGGGCCGTGGGCAGTGAAGTTTTGAGAGAGAAAGCTAGAGGAAAGAGACGAGAGGGTTTAAGAATTTTGAACAAATGTGTGCTTTGAAAATAAAGGTCTTTTTTTTCCCTCCCATCTCTCTTCCAAATTGGTTCTGTTTCATTTTCTTGTGGCGTGTTCCATTGGGAGTCAAGATAGACAGGGCAGCCTCTGGTCTCGATTCCTCGCAGTTTCTCCTTCTTAATGATGCCAGTTGCTGCCAGAAGCAGAAACATAAAAAGAAGTGGGTTGTTGCCGTGCTTCTCTTCTAAAACACTCGGGGCCTTCTCATTTCCCTTCTTCCCTCACTGCTGCAGGCCCTGCTCTTCTCTCTCCATCCTACTCCCAGGTCAGTACTTCCACAGAAGATAAGAATTTCCACAGTCTTGCCTCTTAGGAATGACAGGGACAGGATAGATACTTCTCCAGGGGGCTGCTGAATTCCTTGGTTCTGGAGTGGATGTAATAAATATATTTCATGATCACTGACTCTGAGGAGCTCTCTGTCAATGGGGAGGTAAGGCACAAATTTTAGAATGTATTTAGTGATATTTACAGTAAATGCCATACCTAGATGATTTGGAATCTTTGGGATATCACACTGGGAGACTTGTCCCCAGGTGACTTTTATGCAGTGGTTACTTGTTGTTTTTTTTTTTTTTTGGTGAGGAAGATTAGCTGTGAGCTAACATCTGTTGCCAGTCCTCTTTTTGCTGAGGAAGATTGGCCCTGGACTAATATCCGTGCCCATCCTCCTCTACTTTATATGGGATGCCTGCCACAGCATGACTTGACAAGCAGTGCGTAGGTCCGAGCCCGGGATCCAAACCTGCGAACCCTGGGCCGCCAAAGCGGAGCCTGCGAACTTAACCACTACCACCGGGCCGGCCCCTGCAGTGGTTACTTTTAGCTAATGACTGGGTGCATACTGGAAGTATGTGTGGAAGGTTGAGGATGGAGGAAGAGGGTGGTTGCCCTTCTCTTCAGATGCAGTAACAGTTGATGAGAAAGTTCGTGATTGCTTATTATGTATACGTGGATATACATCTGGTTGCTGCTCTCTCTTTTGTCTCTAGCTGATATTGCCACTTTATTTCTGTCTTCATGCACTCCAAAGAAATATCCCATGTTTTCCTTATTCACCAATGTTTACCACATCTAACACAGTGCCTAGCCTGTATAAGTCAGTGCCCAGTATTTATGGGAGGAAGGAATAAGTCAGTGCATAACTCCAGTTGCATCGTGTCCGCAGCATCTTGAGCCTGGCCTGATAATTGACTATGCTCGAGAAGTGCTTCTCAAACTGGTGAATCCCGCCACCACCCAACTTGTAAAATACAATAAAAACAATTTAATAGAAAAACAAAATAATAAGATGTAAGCTTGCATATTGTGTATATTTTTATTATTATTAGATTGAGCATATATAAAATTATTCAGTCCAGTTGCTTGAAAAGTTTCTAAAGGGTTAAGTTTGAAGATTGCTGCTGGTCCTTGGGCACTTTGAATAGCACTGCTCTAGGGTATTCTTCTGGCTTCTGAATTAGTATACACAGGGGGAAAGGGTGGTTCATGGAGTAAGTGGACATGAAGAAATGCAGGATTTGGAAAGAGGAAGGAAGGGCATTTGTCTGGAATGCTGAGTCTCCACTGAACTTTTGGATAAACTGTAATCCACATATATTAACCATGTTTATGCTTTTCCACTAAACAGCGATGTAGAAAGTTTAGAAATGGTACACAAATACAGAAGGAAGGGACAAATTGAGAGCAGTTGCCTCTATTGTAATACAAATCAGTAAACCCTTTCCTCTTCAGAAATAGCTGTCAGCTTCCTTATCATTAAAACATATTCTGAGCACCATTTGGGTTCTGTGTTAACCCTCCTTAGAATAGAAATATGATTAAAGATTAACAACATTTTAATAAGATGATATTAAAGCTAGTAATTAAAGTTGCGGACAGGTTGTGAGGAGTGACACCCGTTGTTTCACTAGTCAGAGGGGTTTTTTAATATCATGGTAGCATGATTTCTGTTAGAACATTCTGATTATGTTCTGATTAGGCTTCTAAAAGTAGCTGCAGTATATTTTTGCAACGACTTCTCACACATGGTTTTAAATTAATAAAGGAAAACCAATAAAACAGTGCATTCCAAAACACTTAAAGGAAAAAAGTCAGGTTGATCCTGTGGCAATCAAATAATCATAGGAGATAATAGCTACTCTTTAATTTGTGAGCACTCTTTGTGCACAGCATTCATTTTTATCAGGGTTAGTTGATTAAATAGGGGGAATTGCTGAGAACAAGAAATTCCTCCCATCCCATATCTGAGTACTTACTTAGAACCAAGCACTACCAGGTGTGGCTATAAGAATGAATAGGAGATAAAACAGTTTCTGCCTTCAGGGAACTCTCAGTCTAGTTGAGAGAGGTAGGTACAGCCAGATTGTGCTAAAAGGTGGTAAATACTTTAATGAAAGTAGAAATTTAGTACTGAGTCCTGATGAAACTGACTAATTAACCTGGAGGAGCTTACGGAACCTTCACAGCCATAGCAACGAGAGTTGGTCTATATGCCATTTGTCTTATAGCTTTTGCTATTTAGTTAGTGCTACTTTCAGCAAAGGTGATATGAGAATAGCCCCTGTGGGTGTTTAAAGGTTTTTTATTTATTTATTTATTTTTTCCCCCCAAAGCCCCAGTAGATAGTTGTATGTCATAGCTGCACATCCTTCTAGTTGCTGTGTGTGGGACGCGGCCTCAGCATGGCCGGAGAAGCAGCGCGTCGGTGCGAGCCCGGGATCCGAACCCGGGTCGCCAGCAGTGGAGCGCGCTCACTTAACCACCAAGCCACGGGGCCAGCCCCCTGTGGGTGTTTAATTGCATGAGATTTAAGAATTAAAAGACACGTTGAACTACTTTCGTAGATTCAGCATTGTCAAGGATCTTCAAGTATGTTCAAAAGATAGTACTGCTATCTACTATTCAAAAGATAGTAGAAAAAACTTGTTTTTCCTTTAAACAAAACTAGCATTTTATTTAGGATTGAATATTAGAGCATGGCTAGTTTGAGTATGATGGCGTGATTTCTGGATTAAGCAAACACTAACTGAAAAGTTAATCATGCTAGCTATTTGGGATTTAAGTTGTTATTGGTTTAGATAAATGCTGAGAGTAAGATCTTGGAACAGTGGTAGAGAAGAAGGACTTTGATTCATTCTGAGTAGAAACATTTATCCCTCTGGTGCGAGTCTTCCCCTAGGTTCTTGGCAGTGGCTGGGGTAGGAATGAAGGTGTAGGAGCATTACAAGTTTGGTGTGATAGGATTGGAAGAATTCATGGACGATATGATTGCAATTCCTAAGGGAATTAGCTCATCAAGTCTTGGAGAAATAGCAGTAAATTGGATAACTTAGAAACAAAAAACCCTAGAATGATGGCGTTATTGTTTATATTTATATAACAGAAATTTGTGAAAGTTTAAGAGACAAAGCTTTGTTGTAGTCTTGGGGCCTTAGTCAAGAGCACCAGGATTACACATGAGACAGCAACATTCAAAGGCTAACATTCTGATGAGTTCTTAAGCTTAGACCTTGGAAATCAAGTGCTTCTGTTCTAACATCTACTGAAAGAAAACTTATCACCTATCATTGTATACGTTGAGAGTCCTGAATCTTAATTACATAATCAATAGTCCTTTGTGATTTTGTGGACATTTAAAATAGTAACTATGCTTAAAAATTATTAAAACTTGCTTTAGGAACTTTACCTCTTAAGTTCTTGTGAGAAGTCTTATGCTAGATAAGGAATGAGTGACACTCAGTTCCTTAGTTAAAACCCAGGGTGTCCTGAATGGTGACTTTAATTTGGGATCTAATGGAAGGGGTGGCCATGGCGAGGGAGGACCAGGGAACTCTGGTAAATTGAATGAGGTAGTGAAAGGAAGTAGAATTTTTTCCCCTACTTTTTCAAGAAGTAGTTGAGATCTTTAAAGAGAAGAAAACTCCCTCTGGAAAGCAATATGAATACATAATAGAAGTTTTATTTTATTTCACGTAGCTCAAAGAAAATGAACGGCACCCTGGACCACCCAGACCAACCGGATCTTGATGCTATCAAGATGTTTGTGGGCCAGGTTCCAAGGACCTGGTCTGAGAAGGACTTGAGGGAACTCTTTGAACAGTATGGTGCTGTCTATGAAATCAACGTCCTAAGGGATAGGAGCCAAAACCCTCCTCAGAGCAAAGGTAAGGGCTTTGGGTTTTACATGTAATTTCTGTCACATGTATGCTGTCTGTCATTGCCAGAATGCTCCTCTGGTTATATGGCGGAGAAAATACCTGTTCATTTTCAGTAGCTGTATCTTCCAGCCCAAACACATTCCCCCCCCACCCCCAAAGCCCCAGTGTATGTCATAGTTGCACATCCTTCCAGTTGCTGTATGTGGGACGCGGCCTCAGCATGGCCGGAGAAGCGGTGCGTCGGTGCGTGCCCGGGATCCGAACCCAGGCCACCGGTAGCAGAGCGCGCGCACTTAACCGCCATGCCACGGGGCCGGCCCCCAAACACATTTAATGACTTAAAAAGTTAAGGTGACATCATGAGGATAACTCGTATATTGGATCTTGGGCATTCCTTTGTGAGAGCTCTGTATGCGAGAGACAGATTCATATGAGTGTCTCATTTGATCTTTGTAATAGCGTGACAAAAGTAAAGTTGAAGTAAACCAACCTCATACGGTTTTCTTTTTTCTTTTTTTTTTTTTAAGATTTTATTTATTTTTTTCCCCCAAAGCCCCAGTAGATAGTTGTATGTCATAGCTGCACATCCTTCTAGTTGCTGTATGTGGGACATGGCCTCAGCATGGCCGGAGAAGTGGTGGGTCGGTGCGCGCCCGGGATCCGAACCCAGGCCGCCAGCAGCAGAGCGCGCGCGCTTAACCGCTAAGCCACGCGGCCGGCCCCCACATACGGTTTTCTGTAGCGTTTTGACTAGGGTAAGCTGAAAAAGAAAGATTGTCCACGTCCCCATGGATTCTGTCAGTGTTACAGAGGCCTTGCAGGATGGCTTAGCAACTGGGCGGACTTGTTTGTAGGTAACCTGTTCGTTGTAGCCTACAAATGAATGAGAGAAGAAAGGGTGAGCTGCTTCGAGAAGTACCCTGCAGAGTGGAAGTTTTATAGGACTGATGGTAGATAAGACATCAGCTTTGCCCCTACACACACACAGGCATAGATGTACTGTTATTTTTCCAGATGACCGATTTCAGAGTACTTTTTGGTGAAAGCTGTTCTGTGGTGCAGATGTGAGCAAGCATGATTGTCATATTTGAAACTACATTAATAGAAGATCTAGAAGCAGAGGAATTATTTTTATCTTTGTGGCATAGTTAACCAAAAACATGAAGTATTGTAGTTTCTGAAGATACTGGCAATATCACATGCAGTAATTTAAAATCTTAATTGCAGAGTGATTTTGAAAGAAATCTGTATTGTATCTCCTGGGACTATAGGCCTAAGATTTACAAGACTCATGTCCCCCTTCCTATCCCCAGCAAAGATACAAGCACAAAATCTACAGATCTTCTCAGTCAGTGTCATGTGCTGTTAGAAGCTTAATTATATTTGATGAGAACCAAGAGGCCAAAAAAAGATATTAAGAGGTTCTTGCTCTTAATTCATTTTATAATTTAATAAATGATAATTATTTTTGAGACATATGGCAGAAATTGGCTACAGTGTAAGGTGTGGTTTATTCTGAGAAAGAAAGAGTTCCTGGTAGACTATAAGCTGCAAGAGTACAAGACCCTGTCTGTCTTGTTTGTGGCTGTGACTTCTTGCCTGGTGCTCCAGGTAGGCTGGGTTGAATGGCATGGTACTATGACCTTTGTAAGGGAAGTCATGTTTCCCAGAAAAGTTAAAGGAACAGCTAAAAAAGAATCTTAATAGAACTATGACACTATAACAATAAAGAAAATGCATAGAAAATAATGTGGGATTTTTTTTCTGCTAGATTCTCTCTCTCTCCTTTTTTTTGGCTAATTTTAATAAACCCAGCCCTCTCTTTTAAGTTTCAATATGTCCGTGAAGGAGGGAGTGCTCTAGGAATTATCTGCTTTCAAAGGACTGGTTTGATTTAATGAAATCTTGTTTATTGCAGGGTGCTGTTTTGTTACATTTTATACCCGCAAAGCTGCATTAGAAGCCCAGAATGCTCTTCACAACATGAAGGTCCTCCCAGGGGTAAGAAAGCTCCTACTAGTAAGTGGAACTGTGGTGGTTTTGACACATAGGGACATACTTAAACATTTCAGGCACACACTGAAAACTGTTTTGGGGAAAAGGATGACTGCCACAGGAGTTGATGTAAAGGAAGACATAAAGGAAACATTTTGAAAAAGATAGGCTGAAAGTAGTTCTGTCTCAGCCAAGAGAATTGCAACTTCTTGACACACATTCTGTTTTGATATTTTTGTGGGGGAAGATCATGAGGCAGACATGAGTTCAGAAAGAACTCTTGAGGCTCTAGTTTTGGTATTTCCTTTAGAGCCTTCGTTTATATTTCTGAATGCCTTCAATGTGTATAGTGATAATATTCATGTTTTCCTTTTTAGATGCATCATCCTATACAGATGAAACCTGCTGACAGTGAGAAGAACAATGGTAAGCAAGCATATAAAACTCTCCATGTATAAGGTTTCTTCCTAGTTTGCTGTTTTCATGGCATCTGGATCGTATTGTGCTCTAAGTAATCTTTTTTTTTTTTTTATTGAGGTGTAGTTGACATATAACGTTATATTAGTTCCCGAGGTACGACATAATGATTCACTATTTGTATATATTGCAAAATGCTCACCACAGTAAGTCTAGATATCCATCACCATACATAGTTAGAAAAAGTTTTTTTCTTGTGATGAGAACTTTTAAGATCTACTTTTTTATTAGCAACTTGCAAATATGCAGTACAGTCTTACTAACTGTAGTCACCATGCTGTACCTTACATCCCCATGACTTATTTATTTTATAACTGGAATTTTGTACCTTTTGATCCCCTTCACCTGTTTTGCCCACTCCTTACTCCTGCCTCTGGCAGCCACCAGTGTGTTCTCTGTATCTATGAGCTCAGATTCTTTTTTTTTTTTTAAGATTCCACATATAAGGGAGATCATATGGTATTTGTCTTTCTCTGTCTGACTTATTTCACTTAGAATAATGCCCTCAGAGTCCATCCATGTTGTCACAAATGGCTAGATTTCATTCTTTTTATGGCTGAATAATATTCCATTGTATATATTTACTGCATTTTCTTTATCCGTTCATATAAACGGATATGGGCACTTATACTGTTTCCGTGTCTTGGCTATTGTAAATAATGCTGCAGTGAACATGGGAGTGCATGTATCTTTTCGAGTTAGTGTTTTCATCTTCTTCAGATAGATACCTAGAAGTGGAATTGCTAGATCATATGGTAGTTCTGTTTTTAATTTTTTGAGGACCCTTCATATTGTTTTCCACAGTGGCTGTGCCATACATTACTACCAGCAGTGCACAAGGATTCCTTTTTCTTCACATCCTCACCGACGTTTCCTGTTATTTCTTGTCTTTTTGATGATAGCCATTCTAACAAGTGTGAGGTGATATCTTATTGTGATTTTGATTTGCATTTCCCTGATTACTGATGTTGGGCATCTTTTCATGTACCTGTTGGCCATCTGTATGTCTTCTTTGGAAAAATGTTTATTCAGATCATCTGCCCATTTTTAAATCAAATTGTCTTTTTTTTGCTATTGAGTTGTATGAGTTCTTTATATATTTTGGATATTAACCTCTTATCAGGTATATTATATTTGCAGATATTTTCTTCCATTCAGTAGGTTGCCTTTTCATTTTGTTGATGGTTTCCTTTGCTGTGCAGAAGCTTTTTAGTTTGATGTAGTCCCACTTGTTTATTTTTGCTTTTGTTGCCTTTGCTTTTGGTGTCAAATCCAAAAAATCATCACCAAGACCCATGTCATGGAGCTTACCGCCTGTGTTTTCTTCCAGGAGTTTTATGGTTTCAGATTTTACATTCAAGTCTTTAATGCATTTTGAGTTTTTTTTTTTTTTTTTTTTTTTTTTTTTTTT